ACTAAAACCACGAAATTGGGAGCTTTTGGATATTAGTCCAAGTACTAAATATTGGCAGAATTTTTGCTTGAATAAAACCCATAGGCTGTAAAATTCATGGGTTATAAAAATGTCTGCCCAAATCACACCCCATTTCCCCGCCTGTAACAGGCAGAATTTACCAGGGCAAGCAGCGGGAGGGCGTAACCTCCCCCGGCCGGCCTGTGCGCGGGCATCCCCTGCACTGCGCAGGAGCCACCAGCCTCCCACCATCAGCGTCACCTGGAGCTCAGCTGTCCCTCTCAAAGCCCCAGCACGAGTGCTAACGGGAGCCAGGAGAAGGTGACGGACCTGCCCTGGCTCCCTGCGGGCCAGCTCTTCTCCAGCTGCTGCCCTACAGGCCCCAGGCCTTAGGAAGGACTTCTCTGGAGCACCACCTCGAGTGACAGACAGACAGACAGACAGTCTGTCACGGTCCCGCTTCAGGAGTGCCTCGGGGACACTAAGGCCGTGGTTTGAACCAGGCCTTTTCCCCTCCCCAGCGTGACCTCCCCTGGTAACGCTGCCTTGCAATTGCACTGGCATCAGCTCTGCCTTTGAAGCTGGAAAGGGTTTACAAGTGTGATGGGGTGAAACTGGCTGGTCGTACCCCTTGTGGGTGAGCCTGGCCCCTAATATCATTGTATCCTACGTAAAGACTCAGTTCAAAATATGAAGGATAAAAAACATTTCTAAAAGTTACTATTTCTAGTGATGTAAAATCCATAGGGACCATGACAAACCTCAAGCCATTTCTCTCTAAACAGAGAGGTGTTTGTTACATGTTGCCTCTAACAGTTCAAAGCCTCTCTCTATATATACACATTATTAATAAAAATAATATTTTCACTGCACATTTACAGACATCTGTGACTTGCTCTTCTCAGAGCATTACGTAGTGCACTGCTGGCGTCTGATACTGCAGTGATGAGCTCAAGGCAGGAATCTCTTTCAGTAAAAGTGTTTGACCAAATTGTTGGTGGGATCTGAAAGGACACTGACTGCTGTTGCTGGATGGAGAAACGTCTGCACATATATGACGCCTATATGCAAACCCCCAGATTTCTGCTAGCATTGAGGACCAGGGTACTAAAAAATAAAATCCCTGACCGATGCAATTCATCAAATGAAGCCTTAGTGCAATTACATCATCAGAAAAAAACTAATCATTCCCGATACAGCTTTCCTTGCTTGTGGAAGCTGTCCGGACATCGGTATAAGACATGCCTTTGCAGGCACAGCTGCGTCGCACCACGGGCTTTGTCACGCAGGTGCCGCCCTGTGCGACCCCAGCAAGCAAAGTGCCTCTAACCCCAGACCCTGCCCCTGGGGTGCGCAGGACATCCTGCACCCCCTCTGCCGGGCCGCTCGTTTTGGTTAGTACTGCCAACTGATAATGAAATAAAGGTCAACAAACAAACCAACCACAACCCTCTTGTTGCTTGCAATTACACGGCCACATTAATGACCCCGTTGCAATCCCTCCCTTCCCGTCCTGCTCAGTTCCAGGTTCTGCTTCCTCTCTCCGCGTGAGAAAGTGTGCTCCGGCATGGGCAACACCCTCTCCTGCTGCTGGCGGTCTCTCCAACAAGGATGTTTCCCATGCCTCCTCTTCCAAGCTTTCCTAAGCCCACAAGAAGCAGAATATGCTCTACTGGAAGTAGTTCTCAGGAAGCAAATTAATTTTAACCGACAATCTGAAAACCAATTGAAAATGAGCAACTGTAGCCTATAGCGAACGAACGGGAATTTGTCTGCACTAAATCTACCTGTGATCTTGTTCTTTTCTTTTTGTTAAAAGTGAGCCTAAGATGACGAAAACACTTGTGTAGAGTATTCCAGCAAAACTCATAGCATGAAAACGCTATAGGCTCTTCTGTGTTGCTTCCCGCCTAACAGTAAAATATCCTTCTACAACTAGAACAAACTGCCAGTAAGCGTACAGCTCTGCTATTATTTCTACACCACAGGCTTCTGCTAACACAGCCGCGTCAGACTTCCATCCTCCCGTGCAACTCGTACCAGCCCACCTTTCCAGAGGACAACGCTACTCTCAGTTGATGGCTTTGCTAAACCTCCGTTGGCTTCCACAGTACTGATTCAGCCGAAAACAATCTTCTTCAAACAAATGAATGCAGCCCCTACGTTTTGTCTCTGCAAGTGCAACACATCTGTGCCCCTTGCTTCAGGTAACCCCGCAGCTGCTCCTTGCACCAGATAACCAAACTCTTGCATTTTCTGTCCAGCAGACCTTCAGTATTTTCTTCATGCCAAAACTTGCCCCGTGGCTCTTTACTAAAGCTGCAAGGCTTCAACTAGAGAAGGAGGGAAGACTTGGAGCTTTCATCACGCTTTGCAAGCCCAGATCATACGCATCCACCGGTGACAGTACCCTTACACACGCAAAGACCTACGGAACATCAGAGGCTGTTTGGGACCCACGAGAGAGCAACACAGCCCCCTCCACCAAACAAATACGGTGGTTACGGGATAGTGACACTTCTTTGATTTTCTTTTTTCGATGACAAAGTTTGTCTCGGCATTAGGATTCATTTTCTTTCTTACAAGGAGTTTTAAAAATATTTGCAAAGATGATTGTCCAATGAGGTCATTTTTATACTAACCCTTTTCTGGAATTCATTGGGCTAGAAATGTGGTTTTCTTCAGTATAGCACAGCTATGTTTATTATACTCTTTTTTTTATTTAAAAAATAAATAAAGGGAAAAAGCCCAAGCAGCAGCTAGAGCTGTTTTTTCCCATGGATTTGTGTCCCATGCTTCATTGACTTTCTTTAAGAGGGCAGAAGTTCCAACAGGAGCTTTTCCTGCACTCCGGCTGTTTTAGGTCTTCTTCCCGTACAAACTGCCTGGCATTTAGTAAGATGTGAGCACACGCTGGGAGCCTTCCCTCAGCGCACACGAGTTTCTCCCTCCTTCCCCACGCTTATTTTCACACTACTGATAGAAATAAATTTCCTTCTGCCATCCAACAGCTTCAAAAGTTTCTAGGGACGCAGGCATGCACCATGATCATATAAGCCTATTTCTCCCTACCTCCGCCACCCCTTCAGCACTCATTCACTGCTGTCTCCATTAAAGGACACACCACAGATCGCAAAGTTTCTTACCGAGTTTTATTTTGAAAATAAGTTGAAGATGATACTTAAAAATTGGCAAGTTTCATGTTAACTTACAGAAAACAGGAACGGTACGCCCATGAAAAGGTAGGAAACATGCTTAAAAGTACTTCAGCACGAATCTTGCATCATACGGGGTTCCAAAGAACGCACCAGCGGCCCTTTCCTGACATATCTTTGACCTTTATTGCAAACACACAATTGCAACATCCTGACTGTTTGCAGTAAAGTTTTCCCAGTGGATTTTCCAGCTTGCTTACATCTATACCGAAGTGTAGCTATGTAAATATAATTTATACATGAGCGCCTAACCTCTATCTACGTGAGCCTTTATTTGCTGTTCATGACTGCCATGCACCATCAAGAATGGATTAAAAAAGTCCAGCTTTCAGAAAGTAACAATTATACTTTTCATTTTATACATAATGCACCTACGCTAAGACTAAACTGTAAATTAAGCCAAATGCAGATGAAGAAAAAAAAAAAGTGTTGTGTATTTAAGAAACTTCCTTTAAAACAAATCATTTTATCTTGATCCAAACATTCACAATAGCAGGAAGCTGGATGATAGCATGTTTTCAATCATATAATAGCTCCAAAACCAGTAACGCATCCTCCCACTATATTAAGAAAAGATCCTTTAAAAGATGAAAAATAAAGATTAGTCCAAAACCTCTGGATTGAATTAACCTAAGACAAAAGATTTGGACACCTATGGTGCACGTTATTTAAAAATCGGTTTAAGCGGTATTTTTTTGCAAACAAATATGCAAATATTCTATTAAACATTCCTACTTTCCTGATAAATCGATGCTCAAAATATGGTCAGAAAGACGAGTCAGTTCCCATATCATGGAAGCTTAGAAGTGGATTTTGGGAGAGATTTTCCAGCCTTCTTTTTGAGTGTCGCTCCCTTTTTTTCTCTCCTGTAATTTTTCTTGCAACCAGCTTCAAAACAGCAGGCACTACGATACATCTTACCCTGCGCTCTCCCCGACAAAAGTTGCCATTTCAAAGATCCCTATCATATAAAAAAATTCAAACTTGCTTTAAGAATAGCAGTTTTAAGTGTAAATGGCATGGTACAGAATGGTATTAGCGATACTTGAGCTGATCTAGCTCCAGCTGAACGGGCACAGCTCCGCGGCACAGGCTGACAGGAATGC